CAAATCAGCACAAAAGCATTTCAGCACCAAAATCCAGGTGCATTTGGATGAACTCCACGGCTGCTTTGCTTGGATGGTGCAGCCATGCTTTTAACTGGCCTGGGTGCATATGGAAAACACACGGCACAGAGGCCTCCCCCAGGCCTGCCTGCCGCGCTGCAGCCAGCTGCTGCTCCCACCTCAGCCCACGGACACGTGCAGACTGCTGAGGAGCAGATCTGAAGCAGCATGTACTCTCCAAGCTTCTTTCCTTCATTATTGAACACACCAGCAGGCAGACTTGGTGTTTTTTTACCGGGCTGTGCTCAAGGTTCAGGGAGAACGTGAGCAAGATGTATTAGTGAGCTGAATGCATCACAGGAAAGCACATTGGGTAAAAACCTCTAGTAAAGTCTTCCTAGGTACCCACCTGAGCTCTGTTTGTGGCTGAAGACTTCTACAACAGCACAACACATGGAACAGCTCTTCTTCATCCCTTGCACAGGAGCTGACACATCACCCTTGCAGCTAAACAGGCTCCAGTCAGTTACAGACAATCTGCATCAACTACCAGGCAAGTGCAGCTGAGAAAGATGCCTGCTGCTCATTAAAAACATACTAAATGAGAGAGAATGAAGGCAGCATAGTTCTTCCTAGTGAGAGCATCAAACCCAACATCTGGGAAACACACTGAACTTCATTCCCTGCAAAAACTCCAATTTAAGTTGGTTACATATCTCATCCATTAGCTATATTTCAACAATGATCTAGCAGAGGGATAGGAGTTTCAGCTCCTCAGATGCACTGATAGCAAAAGAAAGTGCAGACAGGAAGAGTTCCCTGAGTCCTGATTGACCCAACACAGCATGATCACAGAATTACAGAGGGGCTGAGGCTGGAATGGACCTCTGCATCCACTGTCCAGAGGCACACAAGGTGCCAAGCCTCAGTGCTTCTGCTGCCTGTGATGAGCCTTGACCTGGAGCTGGCCCAGTTTCACCAAGCCAGAGGGGAGCAGCACCTGGCTCTGGCAACCTTCAGTGCCAGGGGACCATGAGCTGCTCTCCACGTGGTGCAGGCACAGCCAACCAGAGACCAAGCCCTGCAGTCCTATCAACTGTCCCACCACCACATCTCCCCTGTCATCACCCATCTGCACAGCTCGTGACGTGCACTCAGTCAGGCCAGGTGCCTGGCTCTTCTTTCATCAACCAATCTGGTGATGAGCAACCTAATGAGGCTGCTGAAATGCTGAAAGCTGGGAGAGAAGCGTCTCTCATTAGGGCTTTTTTGATATCAGTGGGGTAAAAAAAAAATATATATATATATATATATATATATATATATACATCCTAAAAAGAACAAATTGCTGAAACTGGGTGCTTATATTTTGATATTCTTTGGCAAAAAGTGGATTATAATGCAGCTCTACCAGCTGTTGAGTAACATGAAGAGCATATAAAGGACCACACGTACAACAGAACTCCAGTCTTCTCCAGCCTGTGCTTTGTGGATGCCCTACAACTTTCCCTGCTCGGAACACAATGCCCAAACACCCCTAGGTGAAACCTCCCTCTTTGCCTTCTTTTTCCCAGCTCTGAAGTTCTGAGAGCAGGAGCAGGGGAAAAGCTGCTGCTTGAAGGCTCCAGATAAAAGAGCTAACAGCAACACGCTGATCTGCAAATATTTGCACAAATGGGATTCACACCAAGTTGTGCACACAGAAGATAGCTTTAGCTCACAGTTCCTTTCATTACTCTTTAACACTATAAAGTCAGTGCTGATGCTGTGATGTTTATCCAATCTGTATGAAAAGGTTACCTCTGAAATCTGATGGACACTGCAGAATGTTCCCAAATGTTGTAGGCCAGGGGAACATTGAGGCAATTTTATATACCAGGTCTGTCAAATTCCCCCAAAACTTACCTGAGGCTGCAGTTGCCAGGGCAGCTGTGCCAACCCATGATGGCTCATTGTGCTGGGAAGGGAGATGTGCAGAGCACTCCAAGGTGCTCTGCTGGGCTCCTGCCTTTTTAGAAAGGTCTGATGAGTCCCAGTGCCAGCATTAGGTAGGTGGCAGGAGACAGGAGCTCTCAGCCCTCATATGAAGACAGCAACATGAGTAAATACTAAGTCATAACACAGATTTCCCATAAAGAAATGTTCAGTGTATGTCGCTGTTAGTTTACACAGGATCCCATCCCCCAACTTTTCCCAAAGAGGATCTGAAAGATGCGATCATTTTTCCCAAACACCAAAGTGCTTCTCAGACTTATGTCATTTCTGCAAATTTATAGACTTACATGATATTTTTAGGGATGGCTGGCTTTAGAAACAGCCCATACAACTCATTCCTTACTCATGTGACAAGATAGCATTTGTCAGTGGCTAAAGACATTTCTGATCAGAGACGACTTTTCAAAATGCATAAATAACACTTAATGTACTTGTTTGGTTTACAGACTTCATACTAACAGCAGTTCCTCTTAAATATTTCCCTGACTTAGGAAAAGCAAGGAGAGCATTTACAGAAGCTCTTACTGACTTAGCTGAGAGAGATCAAAACCTGATGCCCTGTGCTCAGTAGAGCAGCATGGAGATGACTGAGCAAATATCAGCTTAGATTGAACAATCTTTCCCAAACACCTCTCTGTTATGCAGCTACTTTTACATTCATTTTTTTACAGACAGACCTTTTGGTCAAAGTAAACCTGAATTACTCAGAACCCTCAGACATAATTCACCTTCAATCTCAGCTAGACTGCAGGGTAAAAGCCAGCCTTTCATTGCTACTAATTACCATGTGAAGCAGGGATGAAGATTAATTTCTGGTCCACAGGATCTTACCCAGCCATGTGAGATCATTCAGAGATGAAACAGAGCAGATGGCAAATGGATCAAATGGTTTTGGATAAAGGTTTGTGTACCATCATGAGAAGGAGAAAGATAGGTGCATAAAGGAAAACATCCACACGGAATTAGGGGAAGGTGAAACACAGGGAGCAGCTAAAGAATAGGCAAAGTTGATAGTTAACCAAAAGAAAAACATAATGAAAAAGGAAGGCTGAAGGAAATCCTTCTCCACATATAGCCACCTTCCATTTGAAGCGGTAAAAACAGAGCTTCGGTATAGGATGCAAAAACAGATTATACCCAGTTCAAATCTCAAAAAGGTGTGAAGCTCACAATGTACAAAGAAGAGCCAGGTGTCTAAATGTGGAAACAGGTCTCTATCTTCCCATCATCTTCCCCCTCTGCTTCCCAACCAAAGCTAAACTGGCCAAATAAATCAGTTCAGGTTAAATATAGTACCAGGCACATTCACAACTACATCCTCGAGGCACTGCATTAAGCCCACTTAACTTCCCATGTCAACAGCTCAGTGAGGAGCTGCTGCAAGAGAGAGTTCCCTTAAAAATGCCTCAGCTTCTCTAACACATCAAATACATCTTTTAGAACTCTGAACTCGTGATGTAGGGAAATATTTGAAGCTGAGATGAATCAATCATTTGTAGACAGAACATTTAGCTTACTCTGACACTGACTAAAAAGAGGAATGTACTGAATCCAGGGACTCTGTAGAGGAACTTAAGATCTAAAAAAAAAATTACTTAAAATAGGGAAAAAAGAACAAACCACACCCGTATCTCTGGTCTGAATGCAGTACCTGTCCTTTACAAGCTCATTAATACTTGTTCTGCACAATGGAGTTAGAGCTGCACAGAGAGCAGGTATGCAGCTCATTCAGTAAATCCTATTATTTCCATGGGCTGCTAAAGTGAGGCTGAGAAAACAAGAGCTGTTTTCAGGAACAACGTCCCTCCCCTCCCCAGGTCCCACGCAGCCTACAGCCAAAACCAGACATGAAGGCTCCACACACTCCTTCCACCAGGCTGCAGGCAGCCAGGACTGAATCCAACCTGTGTAAGCACTGCTGCAGATGCACCTGATCTTGTACAAAAGTATTTAATGAAAAAGGCATTAACGGAAGAACGAGAGGGAAGTTAAGTATGGTTTGAACACACAAGTATTTAAAATAGAAGCTTAAAAGCACCACTTTATCACCAGACGCATAGCTGTCATCGTGAGAAAACTAAATATAGAAGTAAGTGAAACAGCATGCATTCATGACTGCAGGGTCTGCTGTGGACAGATCTATTTCAACGGAGCAAAACATAAAAAGGAGTATTGTAGGGACAAACAAATACACTCAGATTAGATGACCAGGAAGCTTACTCTTGGTATCATGTTCCTAACCAGAGACAAAGCCCTGAGTATGCAGTGAAAGCCAGTGCTGTGCAGCCAGCTTCTGTGACAGACACCATGCACAAAGAAGCCCCACCATTAATCCCCAGCGGGGTTACAGATTTCACAGAAGCTTGGCCTAAGGCACAGCGACAGACTACATCTATGCCTGTGGGACAGAAGACCTGAAGCGACCACAGGCACTGAAAGACAAAGAACAGCCCTCGTCAGCTGCACAAGCTTTCTAAGCACACCTCCCACATACCTCTGAGGCAGAAAGGCTCCCATTCTTACCTCCCTGCCTACCTGTAGCACAGTCTGCAGCTATTACTTTGTCTAAGAGCTTTTTCTGAGTCTTGTTTTACCCATGCTCTCCTTCAGTGGGAGCACCTTAAATTCACCAGTTGCTTTTCCATCCCTTGAGTTAACTACATGATTACAAAGTGACAGGTGCTAAACAGCACAGGAGCCAAAACCACAGACGTGCTCTCCAATGCAGGATCACTTCAGATAAAAGCACAGTTCTTGAGCTTCAAAAGCAATGAGCACCAGAAACCACACACTCCCCCAGCAAAGGGCTCAAGTCTGCTGTGAAAATGCCAAAAGGCAGTATTTTGCTTTGCTGCAAGAAATCTGCTGTCGAATTCGCTGTACCAACTACTGGAGTTTGTAAAAAGGGTTAGCACAAAGCATTTATATGTTTATTTAAATAAAAATTATAATTTATACAAGACTTTTTAAACAAACAACATTTTCTTAAAAAATGTACAGGGCAAATCATTATCTCAATTTTTCATACAGTATAAGTCTTTTGTCAAACAAAAGTTACACTGATAATGAGTTATTTACAACTTCAAAATATAGACTCAAACTTCAGACATAAAAATTTTAACATCCATTTATATTTCAATGATTAGTAGTAGAAATTAAACATCTGCCAAAATGTACAGAATTCAATAAAAACTACCAGTGTTCTTCATACAAGTTTAAGTAGCCAAAAAAAAGTACATCCTGTCATCTCTTCAAGATTGGGTGAAATCTTGCTCTTCTTTGTCTGCAGGAACAACAGTGGGGTTTTGCTGCTGGCTTCCCGTGTGATGCTGCTACTTAGAAATAGCTTGTTTCATTCAATCTTGCCTCACAAAAGCTACAGTGTATGGAAAGGCATGATTTCATATTTCAGCTTTTTTTTCCTTCTGAATTTAAATGGTCACCAACAAGTAACTGAAGTAGTCAGTTTTCATCTCCCTTTTTTTCTTCCTTTAAAAGGGACTCAAACTAACCAATGCACTTCTACTAAAAGAAGTTAAATCCAACAGCAGTGAACCGCATACATCAACAGAACTGCAAATATAAACAGCAAATAGAATGACAAGAACATCACTTTCTGCTATTGGAAAGTAACACCTTACATTAAGTGGTACTACCCAGCCTGCTAATGAAGCAAAGCAGGTTACACTGCAAATTTGTGTAGGTCAATTGGAATTTAAAGTTAACTTGAGTGTAATTGTACAGATCAAGTATAGACTTACTCACTGTCCTGCCCCTGCTGCCCTCCAAGCACACGAGGATGCAGCAGAGGAACGAGCACAGGAGTACTCATAAGTAAACACACTGAGGGTACCTTGGAGCAGCAGTGATGTTCTGTAATGCACAGAGCAGTTGCACAGCAGGAACCTGGACAACTTAATGTAAAGTGAACTTTGCAAAATATGTACATAGACGTCTGTCCGTTATATTACAGCTCCTAAAAAAAAATCCAGTCTGTTTTCTACACATTAGAATGAAATGGTGTTGCATTGCAGTTTGCCCTAGGTTTACTGCTTAAGGAATTGCTCATTTTCAAATTCACACTGTTAAAGTGTGCATTGATTTTGAATGCCAACACATTAGATTTTGTAAAAAGTTTTTAATTTCTTTGTCCAGAAAGAAAATAAAATTAAGAGCATATTGTACACGAGGCATTTCAGGCTGGGAGAAAGGATTGTGACCTCTTTTCTCCTGCTCTGAAGCCTAGGTACGGTGAACCACCCTGGCACCACAAGCACAGGACCTACAGCTCCTTCAGGAACCAGAATCCAGGACAACCCCATAAACCAGGGTCAACCAGCAATGGGGGTGTGGGGGAAGTAACAAGTGTCAGTCAACTGATTTCCTACTGAAACTGCTGTTATGATCAGAGTGAAGGTATAAATTACACTTGAAAAAATGATACAAAAATAAGAAAAAGAGCATGCTCTCTGTAAAAAATATAGTTTTCTGTTTCTTCAAAAAAAAAAAAAACAAAAACCAAACAATAGCTTTAAACATACCCAAGGGATTTCTTCCTTAAGACAAAATGAATGAATCTGGTTAAGATTTACATAACATTAAGCGATTTTAATGCCTATTAGCCACACTCACTATTCAGGGAAGCTTCTAGGAAGGAAAGTCAGATAATAATACAAAACAATCACAAAAAGATTAATTGATTTTGAAGCAGGTCTGAAGAAGAAAATTAAGTTCAAGGAATTTAAACATAAAACCTGAGTATGTCAAGCGAAGAAAGCATGAACTGCCAAGCTACATCCATGTTAGAATGCCCACCCAACCTCACTTACATGTTAAGTTTTCAGGTCCTGATGTACACACATGGGCAGCATTAGAAATGCACCCCTTTTCCTGGTTGCAAAGTTCAAGAGATCTCCAAAATGACATCCCAGCCCTTATGGATTCTCTCCTGCTCCTGTTCACAGTTCCATCCAGGGCATGGCACTTTACCACAGTCAGTGTTTTACTTCACAACACCCAACCAAATCACAGTATTCGACAGTATTTCTTCATATCAGGTGCACTTTAAGTTCTTTGCATCATACCTCTTCACAGCCAGACTGAAATAGTTCTGTACAGTTTAACTGCCTCCTTCAGTACTGCTGCATTTAGTTACTTTAAGTAAAAACTGTGCTAAGTGTTAAAGATCCTTTGGTGTTTGGCTCTGCCACTCCTTCATTCTATCTTTTTCCCCAAAGAGAGAAAAATCCCTGTTAAAAAAAAGCCTGTGAAACTAAGTCCTATTTTTTATATAAGAATTTGCATTTCCATTCGTTTTTTGGGGTTCTCCATATAACACCTGGAGACATCGCACTACTCAAGTCAAAAGAAACAGAGAAGAACAGACAAACTGGAAGGCTTAGTGTAACTCCTACTGTGCTTCAAGAAAAATGCAAATAGAATTCTAAACCTCTCAGATGGGTGCTATTGTATAGAATATAAAAGTTTTCTGTATTAAAGTTGAAGATCAATATGTGCTTTGCTGCCAGAAAGGCCTGAGAGAGTTTAGAGAAGGAGCACAGCCTTCCTGTTTTACCTGGCAATTGGGTTTAACCGTTACTAAAATTTAATTTTACAAGTGGAAACACAGTGACATTGCAATGCCCCTCAAATGACGTTTTGAGAAGGAAATAGTGCTTTCAGTTGCTGTCTCGTAGTGTTATTATAAGGTAACTCTAGAGAAAAGCCAAATTAAAAAACAGCCAGTTTAGTTTAACTACTCCCAGCTCCCCAACACAAAAAGCTCACAAGTCTTTTATGCAATAACATACAAACACCTTGTACATACAACATGTACAACAGCTGAGCCCTTCTATGACAACTATCTACAGAAATACAAATATACGAAGCCTAACATTTTAGGAACAACGTTTTGATGCCCTCTTTTATAAAAAGTATCTGCCTGCCTCCCTTCCTCTTGCTTTGGTTAATCAGGAAAGGAAGATATAGCTAGAAATGTTTTCCTCCAATTCACTGTACAAACAATTTAAATCTCTGTAAGCAGAAAAAACTGATCCTAAGCCAACTGGTAAACAACCTTCTTCGATGTAAGATTTAGCAAGGAGGAGTTATTTTAAGTGCAGTTACAAATATGGAAATACTAAGATGATAATACTTCCTTGGTGTTGGCCACCAGTTTTAACACAGAACCCAATTAAAAACTTAAAGCTGAAGAAACAGACTTCAGGATATTGCAGTTGCTATTCTCACATCTTGGGGAAAAAATAACTGAGATAATGGGTCCAACATATCCCCAGTGATATAAGTGCAGTTAAAAGGGATCAGTCTGTTTCAGTCCATTACTCAGTCACTTTTTCTAGTGTCTTTTGAGCTACTCATGTCAGTAAATAAACATTAAAAGTGCTTAATGTACAAGGCTAATAGTGATGATAGCACTTCCACTGTTTTGCTTCATTTTGTTATTTTTTTTTTTTTGTGGGTTTTTTACAATTTTTTTTTTTTTACAAAAACCTTAAAAACAAACATGAAGGCATATATAAAATACACTTGATTTATGTAACAGATAGAATATAAACCACCAGACAAGAAAAATTATTGCAAAATAGATGAGGATGTTCATTATTTTTTTTCACTACCAAATTGTAAAATAAGAAAGTTTCCTTTAGGTTTTCTAAGATAAGATACTAGCTCTCACTGTTCGATGATGCAGAGGTTATTTTCACATACTGGTTGAAAATCGTCTCAAAAGCTTCATCTCTGTGTACCATAGCACCAAACACCAAAGGCTAAATGACAGGAAAAGAAAGAAAAGATCATGTTAGTCTGGAAGAAAAGTCTTCCTTCAGGAACGGTTCTGGCCATATCATTAGGAGCAGGACTGTACTCAAAGTACATTAATAAAGCGTAAGAATCCTTTTTTTTTACTAAATCTTTGGATATGTGCCCAAGTTTCTCATGTTTCCATCTCCATCTTGATTTTATAAAACAACCACAGCATAAAGCACATCTGCAAAGAGAACAGGCAACCGAGGGCATTTTAACTCACTCATGAAGTTTTCCTGATGATACTTAACTGTTTAGTACAACAAGGTTTGAACAGGAAAACTGAATCTGAGGGTCAGGTCCTTCCACCCCAAAATGTGCCATACAACAGGCCATTCCTCACCCAAAGATACTGTCAGGCCATCAACTTTCATTCTCTCACTGTTGCACTGCCTATCACCCCTATGCTCTCAGAGGATGCTGAGAGAACAGTCAATTGAGGTAATGAAAGAAAGGATGAAGCAAATCTGTCTGAAGCGTTACAGTAAAGTAGTCAGATGCAGTAAAACAGGCTGAATGTTTAATTCATTAAAATTCTGAGAGAAACATGCTGAATTATGTACAAGTGAATTAGAGAAAGAAGCAAAACACGAGCAAGAGGAAAAAGAAAAAAAAAACCAACCCCTTTTTGCTGCCGCTTGCCAGAGAAAGATGTCAAAAGGGCATGAAGTCAAACAGATAATACAGATAGAGCCAGCTACTTACTTTTTGTGTAGATGGTGTTGATACGGCAATACCCATCCCTGATCCCGGGAGAACAGAGAGCACTTTATACTGAAAGAGCAAGCACAGACCTAAGGTATCTTATATGTACTGAACAATTGTAAGAAGTGCTGAGGAGGTTATGCAATTCGTCAGAGGTAGATCCTTTCAGCCACAACTAATAGGCCTGTGTTAAAATCAGCACAGGCCAGGGATTTCTTGCTGACCCTGAAATAAACCAGCACAGCACTGCTCACACAGCAAGCACCTGCCCCATGTTGTGTTACCTGCCTGCCCCAATGGTCCCCAGCCCAGCACTGCTACTGGCAGCTGCCTCAGCTTCCCCTGCCAGGGTCCAGTCAGCAGCTCCACACTAAGGGACATCAGTGGTCACTGACCAGTCATGCACCCTGCTCTTCTGCAGTACATCAGTGTGCATGTGTGCTCATATATACTGTTTACATACATATATACGTGCATAAATTTAAGCAGGCAGGAGAGGTGTGCAAGTGCATAGAGTTTAAAGGTTTCCCTAGAACTAATAATATTCACTGATAGTTTAAAGGAGCAGGAAATAGACAAAAAAAACTAATTTTCAAAATTATGTAGATCAACAGAATATGTATAGTTGGGCTTTTTAAAGAAAGTCTGCAAGGCTATGCAGAAATACTGCTGGCTGAGCTAGAGAATATCCTAAATATAGAAGGAGCCTGAGCCTGTCCTGTTTTCACCCACCCACAAATAAAACAAGGCCCACTGTGCTTTTCTGCTTGGCTGCACAATCTCTGTCTCATCTTCATGAAGAAGCTATATTGATACAAAAGGACTTTCATGCAGTAAAGACTAACTAAACAAGTCAGTGCTGCTTCAAGTATGGTGTTTAAAATACATCAGTATGAATTATTAATTTCAATGAAAACGTTCAAGCTGAGCTCAAGTCATTTCCTTTATAGACATGTGATGTAAATGGAAAAAATTCATTTGCAAATCTAGAGGTACTGAAACAATAGACACCAGACTGACTTCTTTCTTTGTGGGTTATAATCTGTGGCTCTCATTGCCACAGGATATAGCAAAAAGTAGGGGTGCTTGTACTTAAGAGTAAGACAATTTAAAGGAGGTAACAAGAAGTGATACTAAACATCATTCAGCATGATGCTAGGCACAGAATGCAGCCACTGGTGACAGCAGGCTCAACCAGAAGATTACACTGTACTTGCCAGGCTTCTAACCATTCACTTTTCACTTTCTTAGTGATGGATTCCATCTAGACAAAATTCCAGTCTGATTCAGTAATGCTACTCTAACGCTTTATCCTTCTTCACTGTCAGTAATCCCTCTTCCCTCCAAGGCATCTACATTTAAGATGATATATCTTCTGATATCAACACTCAAATTTAAGTTAAGGTTACACAATTCTTGCTAACAAAAAATCTTCTTAAAGCCTAAGCAGATCCAGTCAAAATAGCAGTTTAGAAACAACACAATTTTAATTCAAAAACAATTCAGGAATGTAAGAGTTTAGTAAACATTTATGCTCCCAGTGAGTTTGCGTGTGGTTACTCTAAGTGACTGAACAAATATTCTTGATCAAAGAACTGTCTCAGTTATATAAACGATCAGTGTCATGCTTCCCCTACTCCCCTAAAATCCCAAATCACCGTAAGCAGAAAATCAAGACATAACTAACAGAACAGAAAATGAACTTTTTTTTCTCTATGTGCAACACAAAAAAGACATACCTTCTGAATATCTGTTATATCCGTTAGCTTTATAACTTTATTTCTTTTAGATGAGCCTGATTTGGAGCTTTCAAAGCACAAGTAACTGAAGATAAGAAAAGAAAATGCTCATTTTGATACAGTATTCTAAACAAGTAAAGCTTAAACAGTTGAAATATTGTATCTCAAAAAGCTTGTAAGTCGTCTACCCTCCTCTAAAATAGGATTAATGGAAAATTACTGTGTTAATTTCATGTTATTGTGATGCAGACAAAAGCTCAGATTTTTAAATGCTACAGATTCCAAACACTCTCCATCACTGGGTGACACTGCATACGGATTAACTTTATTTCCATTCATTACACTCCAAAGGAATTTCAGTGCAAGAGGCAAATGGTAGTGATACTCATTTCAGCACAGGGGAGAAATAAAAAGGAAGCAAAGACTAAAAACAAGAACAAAAAACCAGCAACAAAAAAAATCAATTACTAGTTTTGAAACCAATGCTTGAATTTCTTTGGTTTGTTGGTTTTGTTGCACATTGCTTCAAGGAAGCTATACATTCTTTAAAAATGAAACTTAAGAATAATTGTCACAAAACTATTAATCACAGCTCCCAAAATACAACTAGCTTTTAGGTTTCTTTTTTTTTTTTTTTAACATACACACATAAAGAGTGTATGTTATCCTTATCACAGATTGCAGCTACTAACAACTGGCTATAGAGCTGTTCTCCATTCCCATGCAAGGCTTCCCAAGACAAAACCATGCTTGTTAAGCTTTACTACACCCCAGACTTTGATCTCACTCTCCTATCATGCTTTGAGGTTTTAAAGCACCATGAAAAGGCACTTTATATCCACTTACAAGAAGAGTGTTGTTTCAAAATATTGTCAAACTCTTTTTTTTAATGTCTGCTGCATTTTCCTCCTAAGAAACGTGTCCATTTTAATGACTCACTTTTCTGTGACGTAAAGAATTCCATTTCTGATGTAGTCTGTAGGCATCTTCCTATCTCTATTGATCAAGCAACAACGCCAGCCATTTTCACACACTAAACAAAAAATCACAGGAAGAAATGTTACTTTAGGAAAGAGAGAAACAGCAATTCCCTTATAAAAGGCAGAACAGAAAATTCACCTTTAGATATCGAAAACAAAAAGCATTTGCATAGCAAAACCTAGAGAAGGTGGTTCTAGGCATCATAACAACTGTTTTAACACAGTTGTTTTGTTTTTTTTTTTAAGTTAAGAACAAAGGACAAACCCACAATCACAGTTATTTACTTTAACATTTGCACTACAACAAAAGACATGACGTGCTGTTGATTCTTGCAAACAATTGTAAAGACACAGAATGAAAGAGTTTAGAAATTCATTCTAATTTAAAGCAGGTATTTTAAATCAAAAACTTCTACTTGTACATTACACAGAGGGAGAATTCAGCTTCAAGCTATCTTTGGCATTTCAGAATGTATTCTACTAATGTTGCAATACCTGCCAAAGGACGCTCATTTTCTGACAGGTTAAAAACTTCATGGAAATTCCCCCTCTTGGTGGTATGGAAGCGACTCGTGTCTTCATCTTTGTTTATTCCAGTTGGGGCATTTGAGCCCACGTAACTTCTGGACGCTGCTGTTTGAAGCTGAAAAAGAAAGAAACATATTCCAAAATCCGAACAGCAACATTTTAGAACTGTGATCTCAAAAGCCTGGCTAGCTATTCTTCCTTAAGGAAAGGTAGGGCAACAATTTTCATTAACTACTTCAATGATGTTGTTGCTGCTGCACTGTACTACTTCTATATCAGTAGGCTGCGAGGTTCTACCTGAAGACAGCCTTGCAAAGTTCTACACTTTGAAGGACAGCCTCTACAGAAGTGAAAGTACATGGTGCTAGATATTTCTGTCTTAAAATATCATTTCTTTACAGCAAAAGGGTATATCTGATTAGATATAGCTAGGCCACTGCACACAACTCCAAATTAACTGCACTACTGGGACTAATAATAAGTTAACATAATATCACTATTTAGTTTGTCTTCAAGAGACAGGCCAAGGTACTTTTGCACAAACTAAGATTATAAAGAAAAAAAAAGCAAACATAGAAAAAGTCACACAAAACTGCAAAAGCTCATTAGGAATACAAATGCTGAAATTGAAGGGGAGTTTTCCACGCTACGATCCATACCTTTTCATGCCCTGACAGCTAGCAGGAAAAGAAACAAACAACACAAATGTGACAGTGACAAAAGAAAAAAGTGAAGTCTATATAACAGCATAATAGATAGAATAAAACATGAACTGAGTGAAGCTGCAAGATCTTGCTCACATACCAAAAGACTACACACGATGAATGCAATTAAAAATGAGAGTTAGCAGTGGTTAGAGCACACCAGTTCAATTTATTCAGGTTGTGTTAGAGTCATTGATCTTTGCTTTCCTTTGAAGTTGCACTGAATTTTGAGCGTTGACATGTGAAATAAAACTAGAATGGTAGTCAGTATTCTTGGGAAGGGGGTGGGGTGGGTGGGAAGTAGCACAGCGTTCTTAAAGTTGAATTACTTCAGTAAAATCTTCTTTTCAGCAGGGCTCCTGAACCACTGTAGCCCTAATAAAACAGCCCTGCTTCTGGAAGGACAGCAGGCAGCTACTTTCCAAAAGCTTGCCTCTGTTTGCTTTGTTCATCTTGCTAGCGTACCACACAATTCTAAAGGCTGGCTTTTGTCACAAAAGCAGTAACAGCTCCATTCTTAGTCCTACTGTAGACATGCAGTTAAACAACTGGCAAAGTGACAGCGTGCAAGCCTGGGACTAAGCCCTTCTCCTGTAGCAGCCCAATGCCATGGGAAGCTGACTAGCCTCAGCTGCTTTCTGAGTTTCAGTTGGCAGCACTCAACACTTCACAGGATTTAGCTTAACAAAAGCAAATGAAAAGTGTGCACTGCAATCACCGACTATAAAATCAGACTTGACAAAACAGTTATGCACAACAGAGGGTATTTACCATCCAGCTTTTAGGGTAACCGTAATACAACGATGCCTCAGGGGAAAAGAATAAAGAAAGTTGAGATTGAAAGCAAATGGTTGACAATAACTGTGCTATTGCTTCAGTTACTGCCTTTCTGCTGTGCCCTTAGCAATGATAAAGCCCCTGCAACCAAGGGAAATAATAGCTTCTCCAATTCTTTGTTTGTGAGTAAAGACCAGATGAAATTCTGGAAGGCACTCTTTGACAAGTTATTTGGCTCTATACCTGCGTAACCAGGTGAAGCTCCATGGACCGAGACATACAAAAGGTCAGGAAAAGAGACCTAATGATTTTTGCTCTGAAATAAAGATTATCCCTGCTCTGTGCTGCACAGCTTCCTACCTAACCATTACACGGACAAAAAAAAAGGTGGCCAAGCTTCAATGCCATATTCCACTCTGAGGCTGGAGATGTGAGAAGTTCTGCCCTTTCCTTGCATCCTCCCTAAAAAAAGGCACGTATCCACTACCCTTAAAGCAAGCAGCTCATTTAAGTATAACCTCTCAGGCTATGAGGCAATGAGACAACGAAGGATCCTTTACTAAAAGAAGAACATCACACCCAATTTTGATAAGCTTAAATATAACTGGAAGGTGTTAGATTTGTAATGCTGGTGGAATCCTGCCTGGCTAGAATTGTCATCAACAATCTGGAAGCAGGCAAACAGTATTCCTTGTTGGTTCCTCTTGATCTGTCATCAGCTTTTAACATACAACCTGTATGTTAAAACATCAGACACTGTTATCAAGACTGTTCTCTGAGGACACGGGGTCAGGGTGGTACAGTTAATGAATACTGCATGTTGTCTAAGTTTACCATGTCTTGTACACCATTTAAGGATAAAAGGCCAAGTCAAATGCACATATACTGTAATACGTGCTTTTGTGCTTTTTCTTTTGTATGAAAAAAAAAAGAAAAGAAGAACCACAACTCTTTTTATTCTACAGTTTTCCCAGAAATCTCACAAGGGGTGAGAAAGTTTGTCTAAAATTAATGAAATTACTGAGATCAAGTTAATGCTTTTGAAGACATTTTGAGGAAAATAAAGCAGTCCTACAATTAATCTCCAAGATGAAAAACCAACTTTATGAAGTCAGTCTCAAAACCCTGGTCAACTTGTCAACACTTAAGCCATAAAGGAGAAGCAGAAAGGAAAGTTATTCTTTAAGTTTATAGATTCAGACTCAGCAGCTTAGAGCCTTTCTATCCCTAAGGTAGATTACACTATCTTCAGAACAAGTGAATGATAACCTGTAAGCTCTAGGGATACAAGAAGTTTTAAGTCGGTCTTTTGCAAGGAACAGAAACAGCAGCTACAGATGACAGAATCTACAGCCCTGTCTAACTTCTTGTTCATTTCTCTCAGCCGACAGAAGATACAAACAGAAGATTCAATTTCAGTCAGATTTTCCTCTCTCTTCTACTTTCTTCTGAAAAACTCAACTTATGTTGCACTTATCATTTTGCCACCATCTATTCAACTTCCCCCAGGCCCCAGACTTCTTCTTCCTGACAGGTTAACCACAGCTTCAAGTGTACCCTTTTTGCTCCCCAGTTGCATGCCCAGGCTGAGTTATGGCTACGTGTTACACATTTTAGCCAGGGAGTTTAGGAGAGTATTCAGAAACCCCATGATGCAGTTTCCATAGTAAGAGGCATTAAGCCAACACTAAAATGGGATTAGACTAACATCTATGAGACTTTAACCAAAGAAAAATTTACTGCAAAGAGTACCAACATGGTGAAAAATCATTTGTCATCACTATGCTAAAAGATTGTCTAATACAAATAACTTTTAGACATAATATCTATGTCTGTAAACTACTAATTTTGTTAATATTTATCCCCTTAGCAAGCTATGTATTTACTCTTTTCTTCCTGTTCTTCATGCAAGCAGCCGAATCTCCACTAAAAAATATCTGAGAACAGAGAAAGGCAATACAAGACTGAATTTTGACTATAAAAAAAAAAACAAAACACAGAATGTATGTTACAGAAATAGTAATAGAAATGAATATGGATGGCATTATTTTTGTGTATTTAGCTTCATGTGATTGCCATTATTTTTGTGGGCTTATACATACACACACAGTTTGATACTGAATTAATTTCTGACAAGAAACAAAGTCAATATGAAAACATTATGAATCTTCAACATAATTATAAAAATTGAGCTAATAATGATTGTTAAGTTTAAATTAATCTTCCTTTTAATTGTGCTCTAGCCACTGGTGAAAGTGGAAGGGAGAAAGGTATCTGATTTTAAGATCTTGGGGACAGAGGGACAAAATGATTTATTATCCTTACTCGTCTCGACACTGTAGCATTAGATCTTTCTTTGAGTTGAGGATCTGTTGGGAGACTTGTCCAGATGATATAAGGAGTATCATACTTAGCTCTTAGTCTGGGGCATCGTTTGAAGATGAAATCAATAAGGAAAAACTTGATTCCAGCATAGAGTCCTGAAAAAAATAAATCATTTCAGTGTGCATTTGTAAAGGCACTGAGAATATCACAGTTTTGACCATGTTTTAACAAGTTCATGAAGGAAACCAAATTATTTAAGTATCTTCATTCACAGTGCTAAACCAGTCCTTGGTTCTACTTGGAGTCTTTTTACAAAGGCAGGAAAACCTTTTTCCCCTTCCTCACCCACAGATCTCTCCCTTTTCCAGGTTCTTACAAACACAAAGTTTCTTACTATGTAGAAGAGTATTGAAATAATTCAAACATCCAAAGTTTATTACCAAAAACATCTTGAAAACATAATATACTTCCAGAATAGAAAACATGTCAGAGCACTAAGCTCTACAGTTCCTTGCAAGAATTTATACGGCAACAGAGGGCTCTCATGTACTGCATTAAACTCTATCTTCCAGTACAGCATGTCTTATCTCACAGAAGGTACTCTCCTGCATTCTGACAGATTAAAAAGGGCTTGAAATACTCTTAAGACTTCAGTGAATGAAATTCAGATCTCTGAAGAGTCAGAGTAATAAAATAATACCTCACACTTATAATTCACTAGCTGCATCAAGCAAATCCATATATATGTTTAGTTTAACAGGGTTTAAAGGTTTGAAGTTCAGTTCCACTGAAGCTAATACTCATTTGATCATCTCATTACCTCAAGAAAAAGACCATAAAACCAAAAATCTTGGTTCACACTCATATCTTTTCATTTTCTATTCATACCTGTTTTCCCAACCCTACCATCCTCAAGCTTTCTGTGTATGTTTCATGTACAAGGAAGTATGAACAAAAAACCCAAAATACAGGATTTCTTGTAAGCCTTGGAGCTGACAGTCTGAAGATCTCTGCTAAATGCATTCTCCAGTCTTTGTCTATTATATTATGTATTCAGATATGGCTTTCAGAAATGCATGCAACAAACAATGCCAAGCTCAATGAAGACACTTTAAAATACTGCATTATTTATTAATGTAGAGTTTTCTTTCTTACACTCCAAAATTCCCTTTCTGAAGATCATGCTAAATTTTAAAGCATTAAGTCTAGACTTTAATAGGTCAATTATTTAATGTGTTTACCCATTGCAAGTCCAATAATCCTGTAGGGCAAAAAGCAGGATGCAATAAAAGCTGCCCATAGAACGATGTAGAGCTTCTGTGTTATTTCTGGTTGGACCCACATGAACAAGCTGAAAACAAACAAACAAAATCAAAATTGTATTACCAAGCTTTCCAGATGTTGTCTTTATTTAAAAGGGGGAAAAAACAAGAAGATAAACTTATATAACTTACTTTTTAATTTTTTCCAGTATGTCTGCCATCTTCCCAAAAAGATTCTGCATAAGAAGCAAGAGAATTAAATCCAATTCTTGTGTTATTTTGGTGGGTTTTTGTCCACGTATTAGAAACCAACAAAGTTATCTTACAGAATAAGCAATCCCTGAAAATGATTTTTTAAAAAATCATTTTTTAGCCATTTACAGACTTCACAACTGAATAAATACAGCACTGAACAGCAACATTCAATGACTTCTAATTTAACACCTTGTTCTGCAATTCAAAATTAGTTATTAGAAGTGAAGGAAAGAAATTTTTCAAACTCACTGTTATGACTGGAAAGTGTTTATATCACTGCAAAAAATTTAAATTGCCAGAATTTGAAAGCTAAGAGCTTCTGTCAATTGGTAACAAAATGGAAAGTTGGTTGAATCATTTGAGAACTGAAATTTTAGGAAGTGGTTACTGAGATTGTCAAATGTTGGGCTACTCGCTTTTTTTTATGCGATTTTTATGATATGCCCCTGAAGATTCCATATAATTCTTACCGATACAAACAGACCACTTCTCTGAATTAGCAGTGTTACTCAGCAACCTTCTCTAACTGATCCTTGCTGTCACAACACCTGTAAATTTCATCTTCCAAACAAACTTTGAGAAGCATTCATATAAACATAAGAGAAACATGGTTATTTACTGCCATGAAAAAGAAAGAACCAACAAATTGATACTACTGCTACCAATGGGACAATCAGTGAAGACTACACTGATGACTTGGCACACTCCTACCTAAGGCTAACAATGGCTCACTGCCACAGTGAGCTCCTTCCCTGCTCTCAGTCATGTGCCTCCACTTGAAGAATAATGGGTTTCATTTTTTGTCAGATTCATTTACACGGACACCATGAACAAGAGGTCAGGTATGAACCACAAGCAGCAGAAAGAAGGGTATAGGACTACCCAGTTGGCAATAGAAAGGTAAGCTACTTTGAGTGGCTGCACATCATTAGACAGGGCACAAAGCCTGGTTGTGACAACTATATGGTTGACTCAATGAACTACTAGTGTAGCTAACCAAAATGACTTAGCTGAGAGAAAGTCTTCCCTCATCTTTTGCCACACAAATAGATTTCAAGCTAAGGTGGTGGTGTTTAAAAACCAGACTGTTTTGGTGACAGAGTACAAACTGTTAACTAACAGAGTTAAACAAGCAGCAACCTTCAACTTAAAACTTGAAGGGATAAAGTCTCAAACTAATTTTGTGACTAGCAGATTTGTGGTATGGACCTATGTTCCAGTACTTTTCTAAGATTCACTGCCTGTCTACATTTTTAGAAACTTGACTGCATACAGTAGGGAAAAAAACAGTCAGAAACAATTTTTCTTCCCCTTTGGACTTTGTTCTGAATCATGACTTGGAGAACACCAACCTCCAAGTTCTCTAAAGCATTTTGCCATTTCAGAAGCTCCAGGCATCTTACTGATAACTCTTGCTTGTAAGTAAAGAATGTGAGAAAAGTATTGTTTAAGCACTTGTTTTCACACCCTCTGTAACACGCTGTGTAGGTGCTCTGACCACTTCAGAACGAAACTCCTTGTTTTAGGGAAGAAGCAAAAGAGGTGAGAGTAGCACAGTACCTGCGCCTTCTGAGCCACATCTAGAACAAGCTGAAACTTTTCAGACACCGTCAGATCCTCTTTTGGAGGTTCCTTGAGTAAGAAAGAGAGATAACCAATTAATTTTTGGCTCAGATGAAAGTGACATTTTACAAAACTCCTCACGACAATGCAACTCCTCCACATTCTTGAAAACAATAGCCTTACTTTAAACAATCTTTAAATGTACCAAACTCCTCCCTTGTTTTAGATCTACTGAATATATTTTTCACTGATGGTTATCTTCAGTTATGAATGCTTTTCCTCCATGGTATATGCAAATATGAGTCATATGAGACTGTAGACAAAAGACAATATGTCTTTGAAGAAATGCAGTTACAATGGCTTTCAGTCTATGCCACAGACCTGGAATGATCTGTTTCTGGTCTAGCATGGAAATGTCATTTTTAGAAGTTTTACAACTTTTTTTTCACCAGATTATTGATCTTTTAATACTGTTGGTAAGTGCACATTTTGAAATTCAAAGAACTCCATCTTACATTAGTACTTCAAACAAAAAAAAGCACGTAATGTTAGATGGCAATTCAGGTTAGAAGGGACCTTAAAAGGTCACCTAGTCCAACTTACTGCTTAAAGTAGGTTCATAAGTAGTAATTATAATTCATTACAAACAAAACAGAACACAAGGCTTCTTTTAAGTTCCCACAGGATCTACCATGGCCCAAGTGATTACATTTAAGTTTATTCCAGAAATTTCAATCAACTTCAGAACATTTTATGAAGCACCCAAATCTAAGAGCGCTATTAGTTTCTAAGTGGCAAGAGAAAGAAGTTGTTACATCTTTATTTACACCTTATTCTTCTTTCCTGTTTCACCTACTCACACACATAGAAAGATTGTGAAAGTGCAGCTTTTAACATAGTCACATAGACCAAACTGATCAAAGACTTACCACAGGTTCAGAAACTTCAGGCACAATACTCCACTGTATTCTCCAACCCCTAGAAGTTATGGAAATAGTTAAAGAGAGCAAGTATTTCTTTTCCATCTGCCAACATGGATTGGTTCTAAGAGGCTGAAAAGCAGTTTTCTGCAATAAGTAAAATGGCTTTAAAAAAAAAAAAAAACATTCAAAACCAACAAGGAGCCCACAACATGACAAAAGTAGAAGCAGCCAACCACAAACAGCTTTAAATGCATATATATATTTTTAACAATATTAGCTAAGTAGATACTGCATAGAATCAGGTACACTGCTTGTGGATTTTATGATAAAAGTGAATTGCATGCACAGAACATGAGGATATTATATGCACAGAATAATGAGGATTTTATTGTGTGTGAATGAATTGCATAAACATATTCAGGAGCCTATTTGGTCTTGTTAATTTTCAAAGAATGGAGCATCAGATTGCAAGTACTAAGCAAGAAATTAGAAAATGATTTTGTAATACACACACTGAAAGGTCCCCACCTCAATTTTAAGGGGAAAAACATCATAAGCTTATAATAGCATTTTAAAAGATCTTCTCAGAACAGAAAGAAGAAAAAAACATTTTTAAAGAAGCCTTCATTTTTAATAGAGACCAAGTATACAAATGGAAGACTCTGGATATAAGAGCCAAAGAAAAAGAATAAATTGCAATTTAGGTCTAGGTGAAAATTCTCTCTAGGAAGCTGCAGGCTTCAATATGTAAGGTGATATTCTCCAACTACTCTGAATACTGCAGGGTATTTTTATTCTAGATTTTTTAAGTATTAGAGGTTTGCCTGAGAACATGCAGTCTCATTTGTGATGACCCAAGCCATGGCAAATAAAGATAATTCCTAAGTGGATTCAAAGATTATAGAATTAAACAATGAAATCAAAGATACTAGAGTTTGAATTGTAGCCTGTTAACTTAATTCACAGTGTTAGAAAAAGCAACAGTTTACAGCTCAATACAAGAATAAAAAACCCCCATTCAAGCAAAGTCTAGTATTTAAGTACATACATACCTGGCTATGAGGTAATTTAGGGACAACCTCAAAATTGCTAAAAATAAGAACATAGGAATGGCCCAGCCATGCCATACAGCATTCATGTAAATCTGCAGATTGGGAAGGAAAAGAAAAAAAGACATGGATTACAAACTCAGGTACAGTGAGTCATTCACATTTTCCCACGGTACTGTCGGGTTCAGAAGAATACAACTCAGATCATGAATATTAATGAATTTTAGCCACTCCAGGATTGACAAGAGCAATGCATTAATGAATGTAAAGCTGAAACTATAAGACTGAACCAAATCTCCAGAGATAACACTTAAATAGCTCTCAGCTGCCCAAGATCAACTATTTCCAAGGTTGCAATTATGTGAAAATGTGGGAGAAAAAAAAAATCATAAACTTTCATGTCTGAATCTACTACATAAACATGATATAGTCTAATATCTTATAGAATCTGTAGAGTTGGAAGGGACCTTTAGAAGTCATTTAGTTCAACTCCCCTCACTGAACTGGGACACCACAGCTAGATCAGGTTGCCTGGAACCTTGTCCAGCCTGGCCTTGAATATCTTCAGGGACGAGCTGGACCAGGCTAGGTCAGTGAAAGAAACACTGTAGAAGAGGAGGAGTTAGGACAGTTATACCCTCACAAGGCATCAGGACAACTCACTCATTTATTTCAGATCAATTAAACCCCTAACTTCACAGAGGTGAGAAAGTCTCCTCCTCGGTATTCTTTCAACTGTGCACTGCAAAGTATCATTCAGTAAGGCTCTGTAACTTACAGAGGTGGATCATTTAATGGAAAAGTGTGTAGCATTTTCACTGAAGAGATTCGTTCTGATAAAGTCAGTTAGAACTGCTGTTAATAATTTCCTCTGACATTCTAAATATTGTGTCTACAGCACATCTCAAGGAATTTCGATCATTTCATTAACACATAAAAGAAAAAAGAACAAATCAAAACACCACCAAATAGTTATGTCACGGCAGCATGCAAACTTCCTTACATTGCCCTGTGGGAACACTTAAATTTAGCTCATGGGAACACTTAAATTTAGTTCACAGATCTCATGTTGGCACATTAAATAAAACTAAAATCAAGTCACTGAGTGTGACTCTAATCAATAGAAAAGAGCACTGATGGTGAAAGATATCTTCCTATCAAGTATAGCCTCTATCAGCCTTTCACCTCCAGAAAAAGAGAGATTTTGCAGAGGCTGCAGTAACCATCAATTCACTGACCAGGGAGACGGGAAGCAAAGAACATGAGAACAATGTCCATATTGTTCCAAGTTATTTTAACAATTACAAAACGAATTTGGAATGTACAAGTGAAATGGCTCTGAAATATAATTTAAATAGCAACTACACCATATCTTTTGTTAACTGTAATCTTACTATTCGACTTGACTTCAACATAATCCCTCTGAATATATGGCAGTTTCAATGAATTTCCATAAATAATACATTTTAAAATAAGTTCTTACAACTTCTGGAGGAATAGGATAACTTACAATAAAGGCAATAGCAGAAGTGTAGATAGAATACCAGTCTGATAAGGCAGAAAGGTTCTTCACAAAATTAGTAACGGGTTTGGCACCTCTCTCTAAACAGAGCAGAGAAAGAACACAATTATTAGAATTAGCTGACAGTGGGGTTAAATTACTTGTAAACATCAAACAACAAATTCACAAAGTTAATAAGAACATTCAAGACACGTAAATATAAAAAAGCCTTATCAAAATTAAGGAAAATTAAAATGTAGAGACCCATCAACATAACAACAATCAGTTAAGTAATACATTTTCAAAAACTGAATTGCTATTCAAGATAAAAGTTATATCTAAACTCCTAAGTGCCCATCAAATAAATAAATCAAGATTTGCATTATTTTTAGAAGGGTAATTTGGATGCCTACAGCAGTGTCCCGAGTTCTGTTTATACTGCTCCAAAGAACTCAACATAGGTCAGTCCACTGTACTGTAAAACAAGCTAAACTAGCCTGACTGGACTCCAAGCCACCAAGGAGCAATTCACTGTTACTTCAAAAAAGCTGACCTCAAACCAGGCTACTTATCTCTTGGCTGCACTTCTGCTGCAAACTGGTAGCAGGACTTGGCTGCTTACTCTTTCAAAGACACAGCACAGGACCTCGCTGCCTGTCTCTCAGCTCTGCAGACCTCTGCTCTTGCTGAGTGACAAATCTATACATGGAAGGGCACTGCTCCCATCTGCAGACACACTCAGCCAGGCAGCGGCAGCAAAAGCAGTTCTTTTTCAGCTCCCTAAAATACACTTGTCCTTCACTCTTTCTATCCCTATATGCTCTTTACCACTTAGCTAAGCAACACAGCAAAGCAGGAAGGGGCTGTTGCAAGAAGACCTTTGCTTTTTCTATTGAAATACACTGCTTTTGCCTCTCCTACTGATAAGATGCAAAGGGGAGCCCAGAGGTACCCACCCTTGTTTGCAGCACAACTCACAGCTTTGAAAGGCTTCCCTCAAGAGAGCCTGCAACTTGCTGTCCTAGTTTGTTTGGCTTGAAATTCAGCTAGCCTTGATGCGTTCCCTATGGGAAGTGATTAAACAGCCAGATTTCCTTGAGCGTCAGTGACATAAACAAAGCAGCGGATGAAACAAGTGGAAAGGCAGACTCGAGGCATCAGACCAGGCACTGACTTGAGCACTGCTTCCAGCAGTTCCTCCCATCTGCTGTTTCACCATCCCACACCAAACCTGCAGGGAAGGTCACCACTTGGAAAACACTGCTGATGGAAAGGCCCTTCAGAGCTGCAAGTGACAATCAGGCACCCCTGAACAACAGGCACGTTTGAGAACCTCTCAAAGCATAAACTCAGTACTCTTTTTTTTTAAACTACTCAAAAGGCAAAGCTCACTACAGAGAACAGATCACAGGTATGCTCCCAAAGTACTGGTATTGATTCTATGGATAATAAAATCACAATTATACCGAGATTAAAGACCCTTATGTGCCTCCCATTGACAATACTATAAAGATTTAGGGCACAAAACAGCCTTTTTTTTCAAGCTGTAGCAATTCTTGGCTGTACAGAACTTCTAGAGGGTTTAACTACTTAGTTTAACCTGCCATCACCCATCCTTCACCTTCCAAAATAAATTATTACCTCACTAAAAGAAAAAAATACAAGACCTACTCATAAGCTAACCTACCCTCCTTTGAAAGCATAAGCTGAAAGCCCAGCAAGCAAACTACAAGGAGCTCAGGAAAAAGTATGCAGGCATCTCAGGAATAAGTATCTTGCCACTGTAGAAATAACCTGTTCCCACTTGTTATGTGTTTTCACATTTTCATTAGCACTACATTTTTACTGCTGAGATACTCTGTGCCATTCTAGATTTAAGGCAAGCTCCTACCACTGTTCATTTAAGTTACTTTGCACTCCAAGCACTAATGCAGGACTTCAGAACCATTCCTGCTTCTAAACTGGCAGAAGTATTTCTAAACTTCATACATCGTATGTTGCAGTCCTCTCAATAAAGTTACTAAGAACTACTTGCAGAAATTGAAGTACTTTTAATACTTACTTAATCTTCTCATATTTTCAGTCAATCTGAAAAAAAATCAATAAAAGAAACTTGTTAAAAAGACAACAAGTGAATTATATTAAAATGCAGTCGTGCTCCCCTGGTCTCTGAAAAACTGCTCACAGTTACAAATTAAATGTTTGTGCATTTAGCTTCATTCTTGCCTCTTACAAAATGTGCTTCTAGTAATATAGGTTATCTTGCATCGAATCAAAAATTGAAATGTAAAAGCTCTGCAGCCTAACTAAGCCTTTGCCCACATTATGAGAAGTGCATGTCAGAGCCTAGTAAACAATTCTTCTACCTTAGGTGGCAGACAGAGTTTTGTGTTTCATGCAAGATACTCACAAACCATTTGAGATAGCCTTCAGTTTAATTACTCCTGATACAAACACTTGCTCATATCATCTAAAAGGTGCTGGGTTTTTGTCTTCGAAGAGAAGCATCTTGTAAAAAAACCAACAATTTCTTTCAATCACGTTGGAGATTTACCTTCTAGCACTAAGTGGCTCCTCTGTTTCCACTGTGTTCTCCTCTGGTTGAAATCTGAAGTCCTCAACATACTCCCCAAATTTGTCACAAAACCACTTCTGGAGTCTTGAACATACTGTGTGACTACGTTTATCTACAAAAAAAGAAGCACTCTGTATCAGGATATTACTAGAAGACATCTTTGTATAAAACTTCCTGTGTTCCCATATACTGTTTTTGGTAGGGTAGTATTCTTTGTAACAGCATTTCTGTCCTTCAGTAACATTTCTCCTGGAAATTCACTATGTGATGTAGTTCTGTCATTTCACAGAAACATGCTTGTAAGGATGACTAAAGGTGATTCCTGCATCCAGCACAAGTTTTGCTGCAAGTACAGCACATGGGAACATCTTACTATACAAGTACAGAAATTACACTCTTAACAAATGAGAATTTTTAGCAAACACTAACAAACTTTTTGCTGTGTTTCTGTTAACAGAAGTCTGACCCAAATCTCAGCGCTCCTATTGTGCTGATGGGTTATCCAGAGAAAAAGAAGTGTAAAGCAAAACACTCCTGAGCAGAGAACAGGATGATCACCTTACAGCTATGCTAATTTGACAGGAAAATGAGGTGGAAACTTCAGCAAAGCAACAAAGTACTGTATGCTTTCTTTATGCTGGTTTCAGTGCAAATACAAAGCAGGATAAGGCAGGGCAGATGAGAGCAGAACACACATCTTTTGTGTTGTCTCTACCTCAGAAAATCACTTTCTAGCAGCAACAGACTATTCTTTGGAAAGAAAGGTCAATAAAACAGTGTAAGAAAGAGATGGGTCACAGCTCCCCTTTAGATATTGAAAGGCTGCTATCAGGTCTCCCTGGAGCCTTCTCTTCCCCAGGTTGAACAGCCAGACATGCAAAAAATCAGACAACAGATTTCATTACATTCCTGAAGGTCATCTAATTAAAATATATATATATATCCTTATTCAAGCATATAAAATCATCTACAAAAACTAAAAGCAGAATCATATACAGATATAAGAATCTGCTCAGACGCTCTTTCTACTTGGCTTCTTCAAAAGTCTGATTCACGACTGAGCAAGTTTTCCCATAACATCTTATTTTCTGGAAGAGCTTCAAAAGAAAGGAGTGGAAAGAAAACGAACTGCATCAAACTGCTAGAACAGATCTGACCAAGATTACCTGCTCCATTGGCCTGTGTCTGTGGCTTTGCAGGTTGTTGAGCTGCAGATACATCTTCAGCTCTACAAAGAAAAACAGAAGCAATGTAAAATCCTGCAAGTTAATTAAAGAGAAAACCAAACGTGTGTCCTATTGCAGGATTAAAATTATCACTGTATGCTGCATTGAGGATCCAGGGAAATATCACTATGTAACGAATAAGTGTAGTTTAGCCATTCAATCTGATCTTTTAACAAAATATTTTAGTATCAATTTGGTTGTATTACTTCCATCTTTGCATTTTATATTTATTGCAGTGCTGCCAGAAAACTCTTCAGAGCCCTGACTCTTCCCACAGCAATAAATGAAAAGGGATTTCACACTGCAAGCTGATAACCACAGTACTCAAACAATACCACCGTTCATTACATGACCTTTGAATTCTGCTGCTGTTAGTACAGTCAATACCACTCATCTTCACAGTGAGAAGAGCAGATACCAAGAATTATTTCAAATGATACATTGTTAGCTCTCGGTGCAGAGATGCCAAGCCAAGATGAAACTATATTAAAAATAAATAAATGCAAAATTCAAGTACCAGTGTGAAAAACAGAGATGATAATGTTCCAAAACTACACTACAAGAATCAGGCATCACTGGTCTCATCTTTCAAGACAGATCAAGAATAACGCCCTCATTCATTAAAACCAAGCATTTTGGAAAACAAGAACCATTTGGCCATTCTGCACACGTATAAGACTCCACATTACATTTGCAATATCCATAGCCTCCAACTGCTAAGTTGTCTTGAGAACACTTCCAGCATCAGTTCGTCAGTCTTTAGCCATCCATGCAGACATGCTACAAAAGATTTCTCTAATGAAGAAGCAGCTTCGCAACAGAACAGATGCAGCAAGCTTTTCGTGACACAGAATTGTATAATCAAAAAGATTACTCAAAACAATAATATGTTAGCTCTGTACTTTCACTGACACTTATTTAAGGAGACAAGGTAGGTGCTTTCAAATGTTTGCTCCATCTCTCACTCCTCAGGAAGGGAATCGAGTGGGATGGATGCAGGTCAGCAAATGGAGATCACAGTGCACTAGGCAGGTAACAGAATATAGATGGGTTTATAGGCATCTTGTCTTTCCTCCAAGAAGTACATTAGGTAAAGATCTCACTTCATTGTTTGCACATGGCAAAGGCTTCTGCAAATTTGTGCATTCTGACTCACTAAGATGGAAAAATGACAGGACTAATTACAAGCACTCCCCATATATAATGCATTTTCTACATTCCTGTTTATTTCTAAAAGGAACATTTAGACATAGTTTATTGATTTGTAAAGTAACTGGATGTCAGTCAAGGTGAACTCAGTGGTTTCATCTTTGAAAACCACTTGTTTTCACTCCTCTGCAGGACTTTTCCACACTGCTTCTGTATTTGCAGCAACTCTTCAAATTTTCTCAGAAGTCACCTAAATCCCAGCAGTTTTTTTTCCCCTAACTAAACTTTCACTTGTGTTTCTCTGCAATTTATCCCCAGTTCTGTACAACCCTGAGGTTCTCCACCCAGACATTCCTTCTCCTTGCTCCTTCCCACACATGCTTCCAATTCTGTCTCTCTAAAGACAATGAGCAATTAATGTGATCAAATTTGCACAGATCATTATATAGCAGTCTTTCTCCCAGCACAGTTATACAGTTACACCATACAGGTGGGACACTTTTAGTCACCATCTGTCACTGCCACCACGTTTCACTGAAAACTCATTTTGGTAGGAAGGCCACAGTCATTCACAGGCAGGTTCCCATTGCTTGAGCAGCATCCTGGGGGGATGTCACACCTCAACAGCTCCTGTGACAGAATGGAGATGGGATCCCACCACCAACAACCATCAGAGCCTTCAGGCTGGGTCTTCCTTTGACATGCCGGGATCTATTTTCAGCAGCAGCTCAGCGTCATTACTCTCTATGTTACTTGGAAAAAAATCAAGAAAGATCTCATCCAGCAAAGCAACAGTCTGGAATACCAGGCTTACTGCCTTCCTCAGTAGCACACCAGAGTCTGGCTCTGGCCATTCCCGGTGGTTTTTCCATTTGTTCATTTTTTGGCACTGTCTTACTTGCCATCTGCCTCTCACTCTTTCCCCATGAAGAACATGACCTTTATGAATCACCAGGTTAATGACAACTCATTACTGCACCTGTGAATCAGGTTATAATTAGCCACCTCAGACAGATTTGGTTCAGGAAGCTCAAAATTCATTCTTGAGGCTTGTACACCCATTGGGAAGCCCAGCTCACTACAGCAAGACCCCTGATGGGCAGGAATCATCTTTCCTACAGTTTCTGAAGCTCTTCTCAGGCCAGAGACCAATTAGAAGGCAGGAAAATATGAACTGTCTCTGAAACAACACAGAAGGTTGCGTTTTGAGGCAGGCTTCCTAACTGCAGTAGTGAAGAAAACAAGCTGCATTAATGCCTCTGTGAGCATGCTTTCCACCCAGAAAAAAAGCTGCGGTCAGTAAGGCTAACGGGCCGTCCTCCTGAGGGAAGGGCATGTTTATACAGCTACAGATTGAACCCACTTAGAAGCAAAGGCTGATTAAAACAGGAAATAGCAAGCTATAGCTAAGAAAAGATGAGCACAAGTGTGGGATTTCTTTTATATACACTTGGCAGGGAAGCATGGATGTTAGAGCTGTTCATGATGAGTACATGTGCAATGTTCAAAAATGACAAGCACACATCAGTGAGGCTTCCACTCAATTTTGCCCCACAGAAACACACAGAATGGTGCCAAACTGTTATTTTTGTAGCCATATGACCCAAATGTTTAGGGAACCTCGATGCTGAACTGCTGGTCGTTTATCATATCTAAATATTTTGGTTTTGTGCATCTTTAGCCTTGACTACAGCTGTGAGTTGAACTGAATGTGAATCAAAAGAATCTTTCCAAAAACTACATGAAGACCTGACCTACTTCACACAGCCTTACAACAGCTACAGGGCAGCCATGTGCCAAGTACTCTTCCTACAGACTAGCTCTAATACTGAGCTCACAAACCCATCATCATTCCTTTGACAGCTTTTGTGAAGCCAGTTATGTCTTTGTTGGATCTCAAAGAAACACACAGATATATACACACTTCCATGGAAAGCACCTTCCAATAATAATTATTTCCAATCATAAATATTATGCAGAAATGAGGTATTTTCACATCTCAGTTTAAAGACAAATCAGTCAGGTATACATGGCATCCCAACCAGAGGGGCTGTTACATGATTGAGTTAAAATACTTTCACGTTTTCCATTTCCCTCCCATTAAAATACACCAAATACTTTGTCCTTCCCACACAGATATTCCCACATTTTACATGGCTAATATAGTTTGTACTTTCAGAAACAAAATAAAAGCTCTCAGAAGAACTGTTATCAACTCAAAGTTGTGCAAGATCTCATCTAAATGTCTGTGGCCAGAGAAAAACAAAACAAAACCAAACAAACCAACCAACCAACCAAACAAACAAAAAACAAACAAAAAAACAACACCCCAAACTTCAGAAGGTACTTCAGAAGTAGATTTGGTGACAGGCTGATAAGCTAAAAATAATGAGATGGACAGTTCAGCAAGCTGGGTTTGTTAGCAATCCCAGTGCAGTACCACTGCCAAACTTCTGACCCGGGTGTCAGCTTCTTGCTACCTGTGTGGAGTCCCAGCCTGACAGGCACCTTTCCAGTGGAGAAAGTCTTCAGCCTTCACAGCTATCTTCACTGTCATGCAAAGCATCTTCTCAAGGGACAAAGCCAACTATGCTCCAAATACTGCATGCATGGAAGATGATGCCATTCAGCAAGGGGCCAGTTAGTCAATAAAAATGCACAGTACAGAAGAAACAGTGGCCTATGTCAAACCACTGTCTATTCTTTCTCCTTAAAAATAGCTCACGATGTTAGTACTAAAAGGTTCATATAAGACACAGCTTGCTGGTAAGTGTTGTTACAGTACTTCGTATTTTTTATTGTGTGACAGAGCTGGAAACAAATTGTAAAACAAGGCAGCAACAGCCCACAATTTACACTAAACAAGCATTACTCACACAAGACTATTCCAGATTATTTATGCATTGTTCCACTAGTAAAACGTTACTGGCTTCAGCTGTTGCACCAAATGCTGGGCTGTCTCAAAGCATCTATGGAAAACTTTAGCTGAGGGCCTCTCTCTGAATGCTCAGACATACAATGAACACTGCAACAAACAAATCCAACTAAACATCCCCTTCTTCCACTCTCCCTACAAACAATTTGATGAAATAAGCCCATGTTCTACACATAAAAAGTACATCATTAGCTCATTGTTCTCTCCTTGTTGAACACTTTGCATGTATTTATACAGCTGCATGTATTGATCTGCTTCACATATAATTCTGAATACTGGAATAGCTAAAATAATTTCTTTCTCCTTACAATACAGCTTGATTTGTTTTTCATTAGTAGTTCACTTCCATAAGCGAAGAGGATACATTTTTATAAGCATATCTACTTGAAGATGACATGGAAACTTAACTGAGACTTGGGCAAATATGGTTTTGTGGATGTAAGTAGAAGTAGAGACTTTCCAAGGCAAATTCACTTAATAAAATTAAGTTGCTGGCAGATATTTAGCCTATTATATGCTTGATTGTGTCAACACTGTGCCTGTAGTGATAACAGAGGTATTTTAAAATGCCTATAGTAAAGTGCAAACAGATAAAAAGCAGTGGAAAAGAATTTCACACAATGAGTATGGTATCAGAAGAAGCCTAGGTAAAACAATTTTTCTTCTGAGTGTAAACTGGAAAGCAGTTTCAATTTATTTTTTTTTTTTTGCTATTGTATAAATGTCTGTCCCCAAAAGATTGAAATGTTAGCAACATGAGTCAGAAAAAGACTTGGATAAAATAGGTAATTGGCTGAATGTCAACCTCAAGTGCAAGCCAAGTTCAAAGGGCTAGTGTAATCCTTAAGATATCTAAATGGGAATACAGCATTGAGGTGGAGAGGTCATGCCACATTAGTTTAATAGTGGCACACTTGTTAGAGATTTTCTCTGATTATGGTTATCCACAACCCAACACAACAGATGTTGACAGTTGGAGAGCAAACACTGAGACAGCTGAAAGAAAGCCCAAAATTTTGATAAACAAAGACCAAACTCTTTTCTATGTAAAATGCTCATACTTGCAAGTCACAGCCAGACCCATACTTGGCCAATATCAGACCTTGGGACACTCCCATTACTTCCTGTAAAGAGCAAGTCCACACACAGGATGGTGGGCACTTCCTACAGAGGAAGTCCTTGTCCTTTTTCAGAACTCTCATTAAGAATGGAATAATTGTCCCCCTTCTGTGATGGGCATGAACCCAGGTGTTCCCCTCTCAGAAGAAAACCGAAGGGCCAGAGTTGATGGTACGACCCGGACTGTACTCCGCTACAAGCACATGGGATTTGCTATCTCAAACAACTTCAAGGTAGTTTCAGCTTAGTTTCAGCTGGGATGGAATTGTTTTCTTCAAAGTGTCTGGTATAATGCTATGTTTTGGTTCTAGAAGAAAAACAATATTGATAATACACCAATGCTTACAGTTGCCTGCTAAGCAGTGCTGTTCAGGGCCAAGGCTGTTTACAGCAAAGGGCCCAAAGAGCTGGAAGGGAACAGAATTAGGATAGCTGACTTACACTGGTTAAAAGGATATTCCATACCATATGACATCAAGTGGAAGGAGTTCTGGAGGTGGTGTTCTGGAGTTCATCTTTCTCTATTCTGCTACTTGGGGATCTAGTAGGGCACTGGTTGGGGATGATAGGCAATTGCTTATGCATCACTTACTATACACATTTTTATATACATAGTGATAACTAGTTTCCTTTTCTCTATCTCAGTAAATAGTTTTATCTCAACCCACAAGTTCTAGTTTGTGGTCATTTATTTTTTTTTTTAATTCTCTCCCCATCCCACTAGGAAGCAGATGAGTGAGCAAATGACTACTTGGTGCTGCCTGGTTGAACCACAGCAGGCAGCACATCAGACAAAAAGGTGCCTGGAAGCATCAGTTTTACCTACTAACATTCACACTTTATAATGCTGTTATGGAGCAAACAGATATTTTCAGCATGGGGACAGGTCCAAGTTTGTCCCTCTTCCACTTTCCACAGCAGTTCACTCAAACAATGCATCTTCAGTCTAGACACTAAATGGAAGTTACATGTTCATGCAGCAAAGCCAACCAGCACAGGAAGTGAAAAACGGTCTCTTACTTCACGGCTCTGAGAGCAACCATAAAATCTCAGAAAAAATCCCCAAAACAGAACCATGCAGGTCACATTCCCAGTGCATGACCACAGGAGTGGCTTGGGAACAAGCCTCTTCTGCAAGGACCTCACAGAGCCCCTTCTAAGCATACAGCTTGGGTCAGGACTGCACATGGACCAATCCTGCATGGAACCAGTGATTCTGACAAAACATCAGCCAAAATAAAAAAATCTAATGCTGTACTAGGTTTTGAGAGTAAGAGGGAATGCCTATTTCATCTGCTATATAAAAGCCCTGGTGAACCTACAGTGTGAACACAGACTTTTCATCTTAAGACTGAAGAAATAAAGACTAGTAACTGAAGCAATGAAGGAGAAACACAGGAAAAACTGGAACTCTACAGTCTGCAGAAAAGAAGAGTAAGTGACCAAAGGTAATACTTAAGCTGAATGCTCAACAGTTATTCACTTCTGTGAATAAATCAACTCTGTAAGTAGAGGCACTAGGAAATTAAAGAAACAAACCCCCACAATTGCTTTTTTGTAGTTAACTTCTGAACTACTTCCATAGCTTCCAGTGGTAGACAGCACTGGCATTTTAAAGAGGGGAATAAATAAATTCATCGATAGCAGGCCTGCAAATAGGATCTGGATACTATAGAGGGAGGTAGACCACTGAAAGCAACTAAGCTCACGTTCTCCATAAACATCTCCCATCCCCCTGCAACAGAATACCGGGTATAAGGGCAGCTGGCCTAACCATAGAAGCATTTTTATGCTCAGGATAAGTACTGCAGGAAGAAGCAGGTGAAGTCTGTATAGCACTGGAAATCTCACACCCAGAGCAAAAAGTTTTGCCAGTTTGTTCTTGCTTGTAACCTCTAAATAGCTGGCAGAGTTTACTCTGCACAATAACCAACTCAGCTTGCGCTATTTAGTGATGACAGTAGTTGATGGTGAACCACAGCTCCGAGTACTCAGCCAAGTAACCTCAGCTATGCTGAGGAAGATAATGCAGGCAAGCAGGTTAGACCAACAAGCATCTGCTATAATTCTAAGATCTAAAGTCTCCATACATACAGGCAGACTAAGAAGAGATATCATCAACTGTGATGGTTAATAGCATCAGGAGAAATGTCTTTAAAGCTGTACAAATTTAGGAGTATTGGGAGGGACATACTCGTCACTGCAGTGGCAAGGAAAGCTCAAATTTCAGCCACTCCCACACATTAAGGACTGCGGTGTGGTACTGGGATGTCCTTGCACTCACCAGAAGGGGAGTAGCACTGACTGGGCAGTCAGGAGATGACAGTGTTTGAAGAGGCAACATATATCCATCAGCATGGCTGTGGCTTTCAGCAGCTCACAGTGAATGCTGATAGCTCCAGGTAGGTCAGACCCCAGAGACGGTGATAGGAAGAACATTCCAACCAAACAACTGCCAGGACATCTCTGTTGATAGTATGTACGGTCAAATAACATCTTGTACTTCTCTGTACAAGATGTACTTTTATAGGAAAGCACGGCTTCTCTCTCTGTGAACCACTCATTTATTTTAAGAGTCTAAACTGGAAATGGATATTTTCACCCAGACTTTCATTCAGTGAGTCTGAGACCTCACGTGGCTTTCAGCTATACAGCAAAGACATTTCTCTTACCCTTCTTTAAGTACTTCACTGACTTCATGTTCTAGTTTTCACTTTCCCTGCCATTCCTCTTTAAAGCCCTTCCCTTAATGTTTCAGTCTTTGTTTCTTCTCTCAGCTTCCTGATGTACTTTTACAGGAAAACACAGCTTCTCTCTCTGTGAATTACTCATCTAAGTGAGTCTAGGCTGGTAATTGATGTTTTCACCAAAACTTCTCATTCAGAGAGTCTGAGACCTCAAGTGGCTTTCAGCTATACAGTGAAGACGTTTCTCTTACCTTGCTTTAAGTACTTCATTGACTTTTTGTTCTAGTTCTAGCCTCCTCTGTCGTTCCTTTTCTAGTTCTTGCCTTAATGTTTCAGCATTCGTTTCTTCTCTCAGCTTCCTGAGTTCCTCCTCTGTTAAGTAGGATAGAAGAAAAAGATTTAGTTATCCTGAAGAACAATAAACCCTAAATATGGCAAATAAGATTTTTTTGTTGTTTTCTTGTTGTTTCCATTTGGGCTACAGCAAATATGTTCACCATAAAAAAAAAATAACCGAGATCTGGAATAACTTCACAAAAAATGTACAGGTATACCGTGTACAAAACGTTCCATTCAAACTGTTAAAGCAAGTAGAAAAATGACTTCAAAGTTCTCCTTTACAGATGCATTCTTTGGTACAAGCTACCTTTATCTAAATACAGCTTGACACATCCTTTATTCCCCAAAGAAATAATCAGCAGGAAAGGCTATTTGTTGCTCATAAAATGTTAAAAAAAAATAAAATAAAATAAAAAAAAAATCTGTCCCTCCTTTTCCTCCCATGTGTATGGGTAGGAAAAAACAAACACATACTCATAAAGTTCTCCAATGCTATATAATTCTCTGTCAACAACTGGCACGCCAATATTTTTATTCAAGTCAGGTGGATGCATTACAGACCTGAGTACATCACACTGTTGAGAACAGGTTATGGGACGAGAATTGAGTTCAGGTTTCTATTTTTTTCCAAGGTTACAGTCTGCCTGACTAAATTCCAAGAAATTATGTACCTATAAACACACCTATAAATACACAAATATACATATTCTCTTTCATGAACTATCAACTATGCATAAGACTTTTTTGTGCCTAATTAGCTTTGCTTTTTGTCACTGACAGTATCGTTGTCATGATCTTATTTTAGTCTAGAGCTACAACAGACTTGCTGTCACCAATCGCTTTGCCAAGACAGGCACTCAAGAGACGTGACAAAAAGAAGACTGGGAATCTCTTTTGTTCTTTCCTTTTTTTAAATGACAAAATTACTCTATTTTATGTTCTCTGGGCTGCTGAGTTTTTTAGCTCAGTCTTGGCAGTAAGTAGAACAGCAGGTGTATTTCAAGCTTATAGCAAACCAGAACAGAAACACTTGCTAATTCTGCTATCACCATAGACACAGGGGTTCAAGCTTTACAGTTTTACGCGAGTCACAGATTATGTTCTATCCTACAGCAACCTCTTCTGTTTCTTTTCATATAGTCCTGTAAATTTGTGGTCAATCTGACAGTTTTGATATCTGAACCTTGTCACTTCAATCAGCATGTGCCTTGAGGAGGTCAGAAGTCCCACTGCAAGTATTCAGAAGATCTGATAAACCCTCTGCCCCCACTGCACAATGGGCTCCTGCAGAATCTCCCATCATTTTATCTGCTGCCAGCTAGATGCTGGTAGATTTTCCATATTCCTGCCACACTAAGAGGTTTAGAGCACAGAATTAGGAGAGAAAAATATGAAGTGAGAGAACAGCACAATGCGATGTGTTCCACCAGGAGGCTACAGGTTGTATTCCAGCAAAGAGGAGTGTGCTGTCATATCACCTCTGATGCTTCGTTAACAGCCCCAGAAAGAAGACACGGAGCAGAGAAGTCAACTTATCCTCTAGCAAAAGAACTCCAAATTTATTCTCAAGACTATAGTATGCTATGATATGATACAGAAGGAAAACTTGCTGTTGCAGCAGAGATTGTTTCCCCTGTAAATAAAGAGAAAGATACAGGCATAAGGGCACATCTTTACACAGAGCTGTTTCTAATTACATGTCCACAAGCAATTTTAATTCCAGCAAGAAAACTGTGCTTGCAATTAGCCTTCCCTACACTTTCAAGAGCTTGCATCGATGTATAACAAGAGCATGCACTCAGATGAACGGAAGCAGTTCTTGTAATTCAAATACACTGGAGCTTGTGCAATATTACAAGAGGTTCCAGAGGGGATATTAATTTCTCAAGACCATTAAAGGGAAAAAAAATTCTTTGTTAGGTATTTGAAAAATAAAAACTGAAAAAAAGAGGAAATGAATAAGCATTCTGTGTACAAAAGAAAACCACAAGTAGTATAAATTAACCTCAGCTCTCTTGAAAGCCTACACAGATCTTCCAGCTTTCATAATCCTTGTTGTTCTGATTGTACTGTGTCTTATCCTATTAAAAACAAAACAAAACCCAGAAACTTGAACACTAGGAGGACAAGAAGAGCCACATAATTATTTTATGCAAAGGAGGCAGAGTAAAAGCGTGCACAATGAACAAGACAGAACTCCTATAAAACAAGGCAAAAAGCACAGCATCTGATAGTACTCCTTAACTTTCAAGTATGCAACTTTGCAATTTAAACCCACCTCAGCTCTGGCCCGTTCCACTCTTTAAAGCAGCATTTGTTGCTACTTTGGCAGCAGTGTGGGTTTGGCATTGTAAAATCTCCATGTCTAGTGAGTTAAATACTCCAAGTTTGCTAAGCAACAGAAACCACAGAGGATAGAGAAAAGAAAAAAAAAAGAAAAAGAAAAAAAAAAAAGCTGTTCTTCCTTGCTCTTTGCCCTGAAATAATCTACAGTTTGGCTAAACTAAACTGAAATTCTCAAGCCCCAGGTGCTCCTCCTGAAAAGCAACAAAATTGGCCACAAAGACCAGAACCCACAAACTCTAGATGAGAGCCCATAAGATAACACCAGGTCTTCCCATTGAGCTTTACAAATGTGTATTCTCCATGATGATGAGAGAAGTGCACTCCTTGGAGTTTGTCCTCAGACAGCCAAAGTCCAGTGCTCTGCCCCCCACCGCCCAAAGGGGTACATACAAAGAAGGCTGTGCTTCAGGTCCAAGATTAACCCATTTCCCTCCCAGGCACATCAGTCACAGCTCCCAGTCTCCTGCTGTATATGACATTACAAGAGATTCAGGGCATGGCTCAACTGGACATGAAGGTGCGACCTGCAAAAACGCTTTAAAGGCTCTCCAAGTGAAGTTTCTGGATGCCACTGCGCTTTTAAAAATGAGCTGTAGAGGTCTGCAAGGAGTCAGTCATCTAAATTTAAAGATTTAACACTTCCAGAAGTTTAGGTGCTCTCACCCAATCGCTCAAAGACAAGCTACCCAGTATTTCATTGCAATGCAGCTATCATTCCCCACCATGCCATCAGCCCCTACAGCTACTGAAAAAAACCAGTTTCCCCCTCAGGATACAGAAGTATATCATAAGAAATGATTTGCTAAAAACACCATAAATATTCAGATATCTAGTTCAGAGAGACCAAAGAAAACTACACAAAATTTGGGAAAAGAAGATGCTATGTTAGGCTGGGAAGGCATTACACAGTAAGTTGGCTTTCTAATTCAACACCGCATGTGCAGTAAAGCGGATGTTTCCTTTAATAAGGGGATTGGAGGTGGATTAGGGAGACTCCCAGTAGCTATTTTACATAATAGCTTTCCTTTGGAGGCCTACAGGTATGCAGCAAAATCTCCCTGTGAGACAAAGAGAGAAAAAATTACTTCCAGAGCAGAGCTGAGAGAACACTGTAAACTGGTGTTTATGGATACCGTCAGCTCAGTGTTAAATTAAATCAGACAAAGTTAAAATAGCAGAAGTGCCAAACAGTATTGGATGCATCCTGCCATATTTACATGGGGAAACACCAGTGCTTAATAGGACAGAAATAACTCTTCTACGTCTATGTTAATTATGGCAAATCTCCCTTTAACCCCTTGAACAATTACTAGAGTTCAAGTACGTAGTCTAATAGGTAATGAACGTGCTAAATCTCAACAACACACTACCAAAGTGGGTCTCAGCACCAGTGCTAGAAGCTATGTCCAACACATGCACCTTCTGCCTTTGCCTGACTCCCAGTTCCTACAGACAGCCAGAGTTTTAAGTGTGTCCCAGGTAAGCCAGCTGTACAACATAGCAGACAAAAATGTCAAAAATCTGAAAATACATATGTTTTTATTGTCATAGATATTAAAGTGCTCTTATTCTTTATCTGGAACTCCAGCAATAAATAGCATAGTGAAAGACATGGAAATGCTTCACTATTTGTCATAAAGCAAAGCCACATTCTAAGAACACTGCCTGCTCTCTGAGCAAAAGTAGTGATGAGAAACGACCCACAAGAAATAACTACTCAATAGCCTAGGTTGGTTTTGGTTGGTCCTTTTTGGTTTTCTTTTCCCCACTTTTTATGGTGATTTTGTAATTTATTTCATTTCGTAAAGTTCCCAATCCACAGCTATAAAAGGATACAGCTGAAGTGTGAACTAATTATTTACCAGTTCTCCTTTGAATGCTTTCCTCCCCTCCCCAAAAGCTTCTGTCCTTTTCACCAATGACTTGAGAGCCATGGAGACTCCAAAGCCTTACTACACATCTATGCATAAGACTTCAAATAATGTACTAGTTTTTGATACCAGACAGTGCAAGACATTCTAATTTTTCGCATGAGAGATGCTCAGGAAAGAAAAGGGCTTGACTAAGACAGTGTTCCAGCAGCTTCACTTTATTAGCTGTCCTTTGTTCTTTAAGTCACCTCCTAAATTTATGAGCTTTCAAGTTGGTACAGAAATTTATGAGCATGGCACGCAGGCTCTTGTTCGTATTGGGCAAAGTGCACAGCTAATGGTGGTGATAATGTTGAAAAACAGTGCTTTGTAGCTGAGAATTTGCTTTGTCAAATAGTGCTATTGTGCACTTTGTAGCTTTTTTAATCTTCATGGAAATAAATAGGATGCATTACTTTTGGAGCAAGACACATACTTCCAGTATGTTGCAACTACAGTTTTCTCTTTCTACAAACACAGTTTAAAGTAGCAGTGAATACACTCTTTAGAACAAAAAAGAACCATTTGAGGGCTCAGATTCACCTATGGAACATTCAGCAGTTAGTGCCACAGTAACATTTGATATAGCAAAAGTAAAATTTTTGTCATGTTGGGTTGTTTTTCGGTGTTTGCTTTTTTTTTTTAATCACAAGACATTCAGTGGTGAGGAGTCCTAGATGAGCAAAGAATTTGAATGAACAAATTCAAAAACCAATCAAACAAAAAAATCCAAGACCTCTCATGATCTGCCCAAGGAGGCTGTGGATGCCCCATCCC